TGGGTGGGGGGGTTCATGGGTGCTATGCGGGGGTGGGGGTGTCATGGGCAGGGGCTAGGGAGAGCAGGCAGGTTAGCAAGGAACACAGGAGAGCCAGCAGAGACTTCAGGCATGGCTGCAGAGGCTGCAGGCAAGGAGGGGTGCTGTGGGCATGCACTACAGAGCACAGGTAGAAGGGATGTGCTACAGAATACAAAATCCCAGGGATCTTGTACTCTGTAGTGGGCTCCATGGAATAAAAAGCAGCAGAAGCGACTTACTGAGGCAACTTATAACCTTCCCACCAGCTTCCCCATTGACTTTGCTTGTGGGAAGCCGGCAGGGAAGGTTGCAAATGGCGATCATGTGACATGGCTCACTGCGACATCATAATCACTAGCAGGGCACCCAAGCGCCCGGATCGCGATCGCATGACCACAGGGACACTGTGGTGGCTGCAACTTCAAGGACCAGTTGTAAGTCCATTTTTTCAGCACCACCATAACTTTGAATGGTCGCTGAACGAATGAACTTAAGCCAAGGACTACCTGCAATAAATGGAGCCTATCATGTCATCTTGAGCATTAGCCTCTGTTTGGCTCCTCCCTTTAAACCTTATCTGAGCAGCTGACTTTTCCACCATGAGCAGATACTTGCAGTTACAAGGTTAGGAGTTCTGGGTTCAGATTTAAAGTTTTCCTGCATGTAGAAAGCACCCCCTGCTCATTCCACCTTCCTACTGCAGCCCCTGAACTATGTCCAGCGTGACTCTGGAGGTCATCAACCCCTTGAGAGTCGTATGGGCCATTCCTTTTCCATGGTAATTCCCCTCTTCTATCTTTGGGGTCCAGACACCTAATTGATTCACTACTGACCAAGCCACTGAGCTAATTCAAGGAAGGGAGGTGTGCTGGACTTTGTGCGAGGCTCCTGCAAGAAAGCAAAGAAAGCACCTTCTTCTTCTCAATTTCTCCAAAGGTCTCAGGCGAAAATAATCCTTTTTTGCCTCCCCACCCCGGAGGTATACCCTGTTCAGAATCCCTAAAAGCACATTGTGGATTGATTAGCTGTGGCATGTGGTGCTTCCCTGCTGCTGTGGTCTATAAAAATTGTGGTTACAGCTTAGTATACAAACCCCAGCCCACTGAAGCTGAATAAACCTGTTAAACCAAACAGGACTTAGGAAAAATGGCAAACTGATTCCTACCAAGAGCCAGCCTTAAAGCACAATTTACCATGCAATCCAGCGTAACTCCTGTTAAAGCCAGTGTTATTGATGAGGGTTAATGATGTACTGGCTGTTCCATGAAAAAGGAGCCTCTCGTTATTTCTGTTGATGTTTTTAGCATCCATCTCCTGCTTTTTTATTTGGTATGCCTGCCAGTAGTAGAGATTTTGTACCCTCTCAATCTGCAAGTAAAAAGAGAGCAAAATTAGCAATAACCTACATCCTTTAAAAAGCAATTATAGTAATCTGAAGAATCAATTGATTTGGATCAATTTTCTCAGGCTCTGGAAGGAAGCTGATTTCAGTGAAACATTAGAATTACTTCCTAATATTAAGACCTGTTTGCCAAGAAAGGGAGTACCTCAAGAGATGGTGGAGTTTCCTTCGCAGGTGCAATGTAAACTAAGGGTGGATGACTGCCTGACAGGAAGGCTACATTTAGTCATTCCTTCTACCAAGGAAAGAACTAGAAAATGCTTTCTGAGTTCTCTTCTAGATCTGTGCAAAGATCTGAATTTGAAGAGCGTGAGAGTTCTGGAGTGCATGTGAATACTCCATGCAACTCTATATTTTGCCCTTTGAATCCAATTCTCTACCCAGCCCTACTCTCTTCCAGTGATTATCTTAGAATTTCCTAAGATCGCAGCGTAATAAGAGACTTGTCTTCTGATGCTCTGTCAATTTAGTATACAATGTACCTGTTCTCCTCACAATGCCATAGTAAAAGGGATACTAGAAATCCAAGTTCATTAGAAGCTCAAGAGATGCCAATTCTCCAATCAGCTGCACCTTCCTGTACAGTATGGACCATCTTCCTTCAGCCAGGGGACACCCTTTCTAATAACTTACTAGTCATTGTATGATAGTATCGCCAGACAGCAGAATTTTCAGCTTGCTTCCCTAAACCTTGGCAGTTCATTTTTAACACGAATAAATGTGTTAAGCTAAGTAGCTCAGGCCACCTATTTCCTTACCTTGTCCATAAAAAATAGGTGGAGAAATATGCTGCCATACACGACCAGTTTGTACTGAATTTCAATGTACAATTTGGAATGTGGTTGCTGGAGATACACAGAATGGTGTGGGACTACAAGTTCACTGCGTTGCTCACCTACCAAGTAACCTCACTAGCTTGCTCAAAGCATATACATTTAATAAATGAATGGCCTCAGCTTAAGAATTGGGGGGGGGGGCATAATAAGAATTTACTAGCCAACCAAAGCAGCAGAACAGAAAGTTTTGAGGTGTTTTTACCTTTTGAATGGTATATCCCTTGCATGTTTGGTTAAACATATCCTGGACTTTTTTATATTCCTTCATTTCTGGTTTTAGCTCTACCACTTTGACACGCAGCGTTTCCTCCATGTCATCCCACTCCTCAGGAACTGCTGTTGCCAGATTATCTTTGTAAATGAATATGAGACAATTCCATGAGCACTGACAAATTGCCATTTCCAGATTGATTTTTAAGAACAGAAATGATACCAGTATAAGAACAGCGCTTACATCTCTTACCACTTGGATAGCATATGCCATCCCATTTTAGGCAAGAGGGGGCTGGAAAACAGAAACCAATTATCTATGAGTATAGGCCAAAAGGTGCTGGCCTAACTTGACAGTGATACGGCTAACAACTGCCAGCTGCCCTCTGCCGAGTGGTGCCAATCTTACTGTACAGCCAACCCTTTCAAACACGGCACAGAGAAGTTCAAGCCACCCCATCCTCATGCAATTCCAAGAGCTATTTCTGGTTGCATGTATCAAATTCATCTGACAAGATGGCAGAGTGTGATCTGTTTGTCATTTGCCAGTTCACAGATGTGGCCAATGTTTTTGGCTAAGTAGAAGTACTGTAGTAACACCTGCATTAAAAGATAACAATGGGTAGCTATTTGGATATGAAGCAAAAAGAGCGGGGAGGGGGTTGGAGGGGTGCCATCTGAAAGCCACATCATCCTGGGGGAAAAGGTCTCATTTACGGGGGAGGCACCATCAGTTTCCTCCACTCAAACTCAAACACACCTCTTCCACTTCAGACCCAAAGAGCTGCACATATTTACTCTCTAGTTTGATAGTTATTTGCTATAATTTTGTTATCTTGTTTGATGTAGGATTTCTGTGGGATTATTGCTTTAATCGTTGTACTCCACCTTGATTTTATTGCAAAAAAGAATAAACATATTACCTAGAAACAAAGCAGTCATAAACAAGCTTCTTGATCTGTAGATATTGTATAAAAGCAGCTTGCCAAGACTTTGGCAACACTTCCAATTAAGAGGTTAGCCTAGAATGAGTGCTGTATTGCAATCTGCATCTTTTTCATGCAAGATCAGCCAACCTTAACCTTATATCAAACAATAATAGGCATGTCTCAAATACCAGTATGGATTATGCCAAAATGAGCTATGAGAATGAGCCAATTTTATTTAAAAACATGCAAGATCTTTACACAGCTGCTTTTGTGTTGTTGTTATACTGTTCTTTGTGCCTTTATTTTGTGTAAAACTATTTATCAGCCTTCCCTATCCTGTGTGGGTCTTCAATTTACATAATTCCCAATCAACGTGCAATAGGGAGGGAGAATCCCTAATACAACCAGGATAAGCAACCTTTGATGACAGCAGGGTGCAGAATGATGCAGTGTAAGAAGGGTGAGGCCAAGGTTTGGTGTTTTTTGGAGATGAGGTCTGGATTTTTATCCACCACCTTCATCCTACGTTAGAGAGGACATTACATGTTTCCATCCTCAAAAGAGTGAAAAAAAGTGTTGATTTTCAGCAGTGGTGTTTAGGGGAGTGCCAGTGCCTTTGACCACCTTTGCAGTACAATGAGAGAATTTGATAACTTTTGAATGCTAACAGGCAGCCAGTTTGGTCTAGTGGAGAGACAGCTGAATTTGTGCTAGATTCAAGGGCTATGAAACTTAGGGGATTTGTAATTTTAGAGAGAAAGAGAAAGAATCAGAAAATATGAGAAAATATGAGAATGAAAGAATGAATGATGGCCAAGCTATAGAACACACCTTCCACTTTTGCAACACGCCGAAGTGCAATGCATGTTCCCTGGTCATCAGTTGCACAGAGTCGACTGGGGTCCACTTTGTAACGCTTGTTCTGTATAGTCAGTTCATGCAGCTTCTGATTTTGTGCTGCAGCTTCTAGCTGCATATTGGTCAGGCTGTCAAAAGATTTGTATTGCCCGTTGTCTTCATACCGCCACTCCACAAGGTTGCTGAGAAGATCTGCCTTGGATTTTTCTTCTCTGCCCTCTCGGATCATTCGGATCATTGCCTGTATTTCTGCACTGGCACGCAAGACATCTTTAGTTATACCACAAATACAAAGGGAGGGAGGAGAAGCTTCATTATCTAGTTTAATGACAATGTGCAATGTGGTCTGGAGGTCCTCCAGTTTTTTATATTCACTTTCTCCAAAGTTTGAGATCCATTCATCTGAGACAGTGTATTCATTCTGGTACTCTAACATCAGGTTTTTAATCCACGATGCTGCATCTTCCACATTTTTCTGGTGGTCACCACAAATCTGGAAAATGGCTGGCTCAACCATTCTCTCAAAAAATAAGGCAGGTTTTAATTCCACAGCAGGTTTTTTGGTGGTAAAGAATTCTGTAACAAATCAATGGATTCAGTGCTTCTAACTAATGTACTTACAGCCATTGTACTTACAATTAGACCCACATGAAAGACATTTCCTTACCTGCTACTTTAGACAAAAAGGATTTTGATGTGTTTGCAGTACCACCAGTCTTACTAGCTGTAACTTCTTTTCTCTGCATGCTTGTATAAAACACATCTAGTAGATGTGGCTGGAAAATGATTATTTTAATCTCTCTCACCCTGGGGGCAGATGTTTTACTTGCATAGTCTACTATACCGTCAATCATGCTATCAGCTGCTATAACTGGATCACGTCTTGCATTTCCTGCAATGTTAATGAAAAGTGTGCATTTTAAACCAACTCTTTCTTTTACTGGTCAGTATTAAATCCCACCTTTCCTCTTGCAGACTGAAGAGGCGTGCAGGCACCCCTTTTTGCATTTTTCTCACAAAAACAATATGGGATCTGCTGGGCTGTGAGTGACTGGGCTGAAGTTACAGAGGATGGATGTTAACGCACGGCTCCCAGCTCTTAGTCGAACACCTTAACCATTTCACCATTTTCCCCCTGTGGCTTACCATATTCTGTGCCTAGAAGTGAGGAATTAAATCCCATACTTATCATTGCCAAGAGCCAGTTTGGTGTAGTGATTAAATGGTAGACTAGAAGGGGGGAGATCCAGGTTTCCGTTCTCCTTAAGCACAAAGCCGACTGGATGACTTTGGGCCGGTCACTCTCAGCCCAACCCACCTCACACAGGGTTGTTGTTATGGGGAAAACTGGAGGAGGGAGCATTATACACACTGCCTTAAACTGTACAAAACAAAGGCAGGACATACATTTAATCCATAAATAAATGGCAAATAGGTTCTGCAAAAAGAGGTTGGTTACATTTGCTCTAATTTCTCATTTATGGCAGTTTTATTAAGAAATGCTGTATTAAGATGGCTTTTTTTTTCCTTTGAATGATCCTGAAGGCAGCCCGCAGCAGATCTACACAGATACTTGCACACTAATCCCAGACATCCCACCATGGCCAATGGAGTGTCCAGCTCTGCAACAGGCAGCCACAGCAGCAGTGAAAACCGGTTGCCTTTGGCCCAAGGGTGGAACCAGGCTGGTCTCCCCTGTGCTTTGCTCATTCTGGGGGGCAGGAGGGAAGGGTCCTACTGGTACTTAATCATTTGGGCAATGATGGAGCTTGGTATGTGCCACTTTTCCTTTCCTTTATGTCCTTCTTCATCAAAGACTTACAGAGGGTACCAATCACAATTCTTCCCTCTTCCCTCCCCAAAACGTACACAAAACGGCTAATGTGTTACAAAGAGGTGGGCAACCCCATGTGGCCTGTGGGTTACTACAATATTAAGAAAACATACTTTTTATATCAACTTTCACCTAACAATTCCCAGGGACTAACTGGGAAAAGGAAAGATAAATCTGGAAGTAAATTAAATGATTCCTATTTGAATTCCAAAGGCTTTGTGCTTAAAACGTTCTATTATCACTATCCACAGTGATTTAGATACCTGACCCTCCAAGCGGAGATTGCATGCAAATACTTATCACAAGGTGAAATGCATCAGTGAAATGCCGTTGTTACACACAAGAGCCAATTTTATTCAGCAGCCTTCCTGAACCAAGAGAAACAACCCCTGCTTACATGTCAGATTCCAAACTCTCAGAAATGCTAACTCTGATCATTTTTAGCAGAAACTCAAGCAAATAACCAATTTTTCTGCAAGCTATAAGGAGTGGCCTGGATATTCAAACCCAGAAAAAACGTTTCCTTCATAAGGGAGCACAGGAAAAGTTGTGAAAGGAAAATTCTTCCAATATTGTACAACATCTCTAAAAATATTAGTCTCAACTAAAGAGTTCCCTACAGCTTTTTTCTGGGTGGTGGGGGGGAAGAGACTCTCCAAATTTTGGATTCCATTTGACTAAGGAACAGAGATTCCTCCATGTGATCAAAGGTCTTGAAAAGACAACGTTAATCTTCTTTGACTATGATTTACCTTTAATGTAACCAACCCATTCCCTTGATGCAACCACCCATTACTGGTCTGCAATTCAGTTTTGAGTCCCATTCAATTTTCTGAATAGTCTGAGGGGCTAGGATCTAAATTGGTTTTCAGCTGCCAAGAACTCAGTTCATGTATAAGCTTAATATCCTCAGTGATGCTACTTAGAATTATGATGCAACATGAGGTGATCCTGAGACATTACTGTTACTGGAATGTTCATTATGGCCCTTTCTACCTATACAATTTTTCACAAGGCAATACAGACCTGTCCCAATTGCTGGAAATGCAACAGATGTAAATTGCCTCTGCTCACATTCCATGAGTGTTTTAAAGACTTGCTTTTTGATATCACTGTTGTTCATAAGATGGATTATATTTTTACAAGGCAGATTTCCTCCTTGAGTGCATATGAGATTATTGTGTGGCTGAGAAGCTGAATGAAAACAAAAGTCAGCTAAGGAGCAAACAAGCCAGGAATCAACAAAACACACATTTCCATATTCAAGAACAGCTGGATTATATAATGCAACAGACATGTTTGGTTTTGGCTGAGAGCAAGGAGTAAGCCTATACACTATGAGTTTATGGTTAGCAAATGTCAGCCAGGCCAGTATGACTTGTTCAACAAATGGCAATTCAAACCAATTGTGGCTTAGTCAATATGTGGAATCAGCTTATGTTTTTCTTTGTTATCTGTGTAATCCATTATCTGCTATTTTACTTTATTTATTGCAGATATACTTTTTTTTTAAGTTAATAGATTTCTAGGCAAATGCAATTTATATGAAGCATCGTTCACAATGTAAGAGTTAAAAACAATCCAATGTATTAATTTTTCTACATCTGCTTTTAGAAGTATCCTGAAATCAATTAGCAACCAATGAAACTAGAAGAATCCTATTAAAAACACTGTTCCTTACCCAGTTCAACACATTCTTTTGCCACCGCTGGACCAGCACTTGCCATAATTACTTTGGAAACACCTTTCAAACAAATAAAATTCAGTTTTAGCAAATTAAATAACATACCTAATCATATTTAAAAGCTTACCCAGAATAGATCACTTCAAATTGTGAAGCTCTTTTCACTGAACCTCTGACTCCATCAATGTAAATTCAGATCTGATCCCTTTTTGTCTTGAGGGCATAGACAACCTTTCTCAGCTCAGAGCTCACATTTTGTCTTTGTGCCCTACCTAAGCATGAAAGGGACATGGTTGGTGACATCATGCTGCTATTGGAATAGGTGGGGCCAACATTTTTAATCCTACTTTTAGCATTTTGGAGTACCCTAAATCTTAATGGGAAAGTCAGCCTAATATTTTTTTCAGAAGGGTTTCAGGTTTTTTATGATGTAAATTGGGTTCTTTGAAGTATACAGTTCTGCTGTTAAACAATCCCCTTGGAAAAAAGATCTGAACAGTTTTGCCCTGCCCAGTTAGAGGGGTAGTGGGGATCCCAAATGGGGCACTGGATGGTTGCATAAAGCCAGTGGTTTATTCATCCCTGATCCAGTGATTAATCCCAGAAAACTGACAGGGGTGGGATGAAACAGCCCTGTTGATGATGATCACTTTGAAAAGGGGAGATAGTTTAATGAGGCATGAACCTATTTCAAAACCCACAGGATTCAGGATGGAGGCTTTATGGCGAACTGCTCTGCTGGCAGAGAGGAAACCCTGCCCTTCAAATACAATGAAGGAACAGTAGAGGAACATACTGATTCTTCATCCGTTGCTGATTACTTTGTGCCTCTCTCTGCTCAGAATCTGCTTCTTTCTCTGTGCAGAGATAAGGAGTAATCTGGCTCTCAGGAGTGGAAAAGAGATCTCCACCCAAGCTTCAGAAAACAGGGTGGAAAAGGTCAGAAGCTCCACATCCTGCCCATGCATAAAAGCTGTGCATGCTGTATAACAAGAACAGTACAGGTAGTCCTCAACTTACAACCATTTGTTCAGCAACCGTTCAAAATTACAATGGTGCTGAATGAATGGTGGTTATGATTGGTCTTTGGAGTTATGGCCATCCCATCACCCTCGTGGTCATGTGATCATGATCTGGGCACTTGGCAACCTGTTCACACTTACAACCAGTTGCCAAGCACCCCGCAATCACATGATCGCCATTTGCAACCTTCCCTGCTGGCTTCCCCAGAAAATCAATGTGGAAACTGGCAGGGAAGGTCACAAATCACTGGGGTAAGTCTGCACACCCTCCCCAGCCCCTCTGCACTTACATCATGTCGGCCACTCACGTTCCCCCATGCATCCTCCCCGACCCGTACGGCGCCTCTCGCACACCACTGTGCACCCTCGCCAACCCGTACAACACCTCTTGTGCACCCTCCCTGACCCACATGGTGCGTCTCACTCACTCCCATACCCTGTCCCTGACCTGCATAGCACCTCTTGCACACCACTGCACACTGTCCCCAAACTGCACGGTGCTTCTCGTGCACCTCCTCCCTCCCTTCCCCACCCAGCAACAACATGGACTGTCTCTGTCTACATTCTGCTTCCTAAATGCAAACATGCTCATTTTCCTGAGCCTGCACAGCTGCTGTGTAAGCCCAAGAAAAGGTACAATTAAGGAGCAGCCAAGGGAAGAGAGAGGGTCCATACCAGATCCAAAGCACCCTTGTCCATTTTGGATCCAAATGCTTTGTGCCTCTAATATTTTAAATTTGGGAGCTTTCGGCTAGGCATATCATTGGAGTGGTTGGGCCATTTTGGAAAAGAGTCTGAAGTGGAGTGAAAGGGTAAACTGGATATGTTTACCCATTTAGACGCTACAGCACTAATTTTGCCTCTTAAGCCCCACAATGTGTAGACCAAGTTGGCTTGGTGGGGAGGAGGTTCAGTGATTTTAAGCATCCTAACATCCCCAGAAAAAGTTGAAAATGTAGGTTCTGACATTCCAAGGGGGTTTCAGGATTAGAAAAGGGATTCTGTGGGCCACCTGTGTTCCACAGACCATCTGTCTTTTGAATCAACTCAAGTCCTGCAGATGTAAGGCCGTGCAGTACTTTGGATCCAAAGGTAAAAAAGTGCTTCAGAGCATGCGGATGTGCTCATGTAGCGCCTGTCTGCAACTCCTTACACCAAATGCGTCTTTTCCCTGGATCACACAGCAGCTTCAAAAGGCTACCATGCAATTCCAAGAAAAGGCACAACTGGTTTAAGGAGCCGACAAGTACTGTGTGAGAGCCTCCACGTGCTTAGAAGAGTCTTTTTGCTTTCAGATTTGAAATGATGCACAGTCCTAGAAGGCATACAAGCACTGATGAAATCAAATATAAAGAAAGTGCTCAGAGGAGAAACAATGGTTGATACTGGAACTGAGAAGGAACAGAACCCTCTGCTATAGAGTCCAATTTCTTCTATTCAAGCAGAGGAACATCCTATCAAAAAATTGAGCTTGGGGCATGGCAAACCTTTATTACTTGGTTCCAAGATAGATTATCTTGGGGAAAGAAGCTTACTTTAGGGATAGCTCAACCAGGAATACAAGCTTCTCTACAAGAAGCCAGTTCCTGAAAATCAAGGAGACAGTTCTTCACCTACTGCATAATTCACCTGTAGACTTTATTACCCCATGAGGTAGTGATAGCTACTAACTTGGATAGCTGTTAACAACGAATGGTCACCTTTCAGGAGAACAGGTTTATTCCAGGCTATTAGTCTTGCAACTCAATGATACCTCCACCATGCCTCAAAATATGGCAGGGGAACAACGGTGGGAGGGATGATGTCTATCCCAGAGTCATCTGGTCATCCACTGTGAGCAGCTAAATATTGGGCTAAGATGAGCCTTGGCATGATTCAGCATGGCTGTTCCTACAAATGACTGGAGATGTGCCACACATTTAAAGCATCTGCATCGCTTGTTAGTTTCACTAATAAGACTGACATAGCTGAAATAAAAAAGAAACCAACTAGAGCTGTTCCACTACCGGTAGTCCTCCGTTAACAATAGTATTGGGACTGGAATTTCCACTGCTAAGCAATGTGATTGTAAAGTGCCATGTCGTGTGACCTCATTGCTTAGCAATGGCAATCCTGGCACCCCCCCACTGCCATTGTTAAGTGAGGATCACGGGTCGTTAAGTGAGTCCCAGGCGGCTTGCAAGCAGGCTGGCAAGCAGGTAAGTAGTTGCTGCTGGGCAGGGGGAGGGTGTGCAGGTGGCTTGCCAGGTGTGGTGTGAGCACAGCAGGGACAGCTGTTGCCAGGTGGAGGAGGGTGTGCAGGTGGCCTGCATGAGTGCGGCGGGGCCAAGGGTGGCTGCTGCCAGGTGGGGGACGGTGTGAGCAACTTACTGGAGCAACTTGTGACCTTCCCTGCCAGCTTCCCCCTTGACTTTGCTTATGGGAAGCCAGCAGGAAAAGTTGCAAATAGCCATCACACGACAATGGGATGCTGCAACCATAAGTGCAAGCCAGTTGCCAAGTGCCCAGATTGCAATCACGTGATTGCAGGGGTACTGGGACCTTGAACTTTAAGTACCACTCGTTCAGCAGTCGTAACTTCAAATGGTCGCTGAACGAGTGGTTGTTAAACAAGGACTACCTGTACCACCATAGTAAGTCCTCTGACATGTGACTCTTATCAGCAGGTTATTATTTTTAAAAAATAATGTCACCCTCCTATACCTCACCTACCAAAAGTGGACCAGTCAGCTCACTTCCAACTACAGCAAACAACAGGAAACAAGCTAGAGGACAAGTCTCATTTTAGGACTACATTTGGGGAGGACACCTATAATGTTGAAAACATACCATTTCTGAGATTAAATGTTTGATTGGTTATGTTTATGATCGCATCTGTCTTCTGATCAGTAATATCTCCCTGTTCCACTTGCAACTCAACTGAGCCAATTTGCATTTTACTACTTCCATATTTTGGAGTTGAAATCCGCCCAAAGAAAGCTGTAAGAAGGGAAAAAGAGAGATTGATACATGCAAATCCATTTATTCTGCATTCTCGCCCCCCCCAACATTTGTAGCTGTATGATCTTTATCCTACGCTTCTCTAGATGTCTCTCTATACTAAGTTCATTAATTCAATATATTTTCAGCTGATACTCAGAATGCTGAGCTAGATGAAAGAAGCCCAGATTTCATTAAGATTTCAATTAACACTTGCCCAATTTGGACATCATCTCATTTAGGGTGGGCGTATCCACATTTTGTGGATACATTTTTAAAACATTTTTCAGGCTAAGAGCTAGACTTGGCTCTGGAATGGCATGGTAAGAGCCCTACCCGAAAAAGTAATGGTAGCATCAAGGCAAATATTGAACTACATTCCATTTGCATTTAATTGCTCTTAAAATTAAATGAAATTCATTTAATTTCACTACGGTCAGACATTTAATCATTTTCTCCTTCTGTATATTAACAGTTATATTTGAATAATCTTTGGCAATCTCTGGGGTCACACCCATGACTTTCAGGGCCACATGTGGTTCAGGGTCTTAAGTTGTGGCCATTGGGCTTGGCATAATATAAACCAGCAAGAACAGACCTTGGGTTCACATGCCTCCCTTTCCTTCTCGTTATCTACTGTTGCTGAAGCCACAACAATTTTTAAACTCAAGGCTACACCTACTAGCTCATGTCCAAAAGAGGCCACTGTCTCAGGTTAAACAAGCAGAGTCACTAGAAGGACAAGAATCTGAGAGGTCTCTGAAGATACGATGCAGTTGCTTTGATCTGATGAAGATCCAGCTTAATCATCCCACCCACCCTCTAGGCTACTGCACATACACCCCGTCACCTTTAAGTGGTCAAAACTTTTATTAAGGTATATAAAAAGTACAATTCAAATACAAATCGGAAAATATAGAAGAGCAAGAAGACAGAACCAAAAGAAAAAGACAAAAACTAAAAGAGTAAGATCAAATAGAAAGATGAAATGAAAAGTGACTTCTGACTATCTCCAATACAGATATAAATACAAATTTTAAAAAAGTTAATCTCTTACCACTATTTAATCCTAATTCACATTATTTCTATCAACACAAACCACCTAATCATTAAATCCCACAATCAAAGCTTCATTTTTTCCCAACCTAAGCACGTC